CAGGGAACCAGAGATATAAATTGACAAATGAGGACAACTACAAACAAAAAAAAAAGGAAAAAAAACTGTGTTGTTACAGAACTTCTAGATGATAGGGAAGTCAAGACAACTACAAGATAGAATGGACTGTTCTAAACTTGGAAAGAAAACTATAAATCCCAGGGTAACCTCAAAGGAAAATGATAAACCTTCACATCAAAATAAAAAAAGAGGACCAGCACAAATATTTAGCAAATACTAAAACAATAGTAATGAAGGAACTGATAACACGATTTATAAACAAAATGAGCTCAGCATAGAAAATTATATGGAACAAAGAAATCGACACCATGAAAAAACATAACAAAAATGACAGCAACAAATTCATATTTGCCAATAATTACATATCTGGCAAGGGACTTCTCGATAAGATTTATAGAAAACTCCAATGCCTCAATACCAAAGGAATTAACAATCCAATCGAAAAATGAGCAGAAGAAGATGTGAGTAGACACTTCACCAAGGAGGATATTCAGGTGGCCAGCTAATACTTGAAGAGATGCTCACATCATTGGCCATCAGAGAAATGCAAATCAAAACAACAATGAGATACCATTTCACCCCAGCACTGATGCCAAGGTTCAATGAGACAGAAAATAGCAGACGCTGGTGAGGATCTGAAGAGATTGGGACTCTCATACACTGCTGGTGAGACTGTGAAGGGATCCAACTACTGTGGAAAGCAATATGGCAATTCCTTAGAAACTTGGAATTGGAGATACCATTTGACCCAGCGATCCTGTTACTAGGTATATATCCTAGAGAGGTGAGAACCAGGACAAGAACAGATATATGCACACCCATATTCATCGCAGCACTATTTACAATAGCAAAAAGATGGAAACAACCTACGTGCCCATCAGCGGAAGAGTGGTTGACCAAACTATGGTACTTAGACACAATGGAATGCTATGTAGCACTAAAGAATAATGTAGAGTCTGCAAAACACCATATAATATAGGTGAACTTGGAGGACATTATGCTGAGTGAAATAAGTCAATCACAGAAGGACAAATATAGTATTAGTTCATTGTTGTGGAGAGTCAAGGAAAGGTTTATATATGGAGGGAAACTTTCTTTGTTGGTTACCAGGGGTGGGAGGGGAGGGGAGGGAACACTGCAAAAAAAGAAAAAAAAAAAAAAAAAAAAGGCATTGACCCATGTCACTTTAGTTTTGTGTATTTCACTGTACATAAATTATATTTCAATAAAATGCATTTAAAAATTTCAACTTATTAGATGGAAATTGCTATTGTTTTAGTATTTGCTAGTATTTGCTAATTAATTAGACTCAGCCTGTTGCCAAAATCTGTGAAGATCTTTTGGAATCCACTTTCACATTATCCATAAATTGGCTGAGCATTTCTTTAGCAATCTCCTAAATAAAGAAAGTTGTTGCCTAATGAAGATTAAACAGAAAGTATGTGGCACTCCCCTAGGCACCTCCCACATGCTGACATCTCTACCTAAATCATAATCTCTTGGGTATAGTTTACTAATCATTCATTTGTCCAGTGGGCCACATTTCCCCATATTTTCCATAAGATCTGAGAGATACCTGCTGAGGTCACTTAAATCATATCTACAACATTTTCCTGATCTACCAGTTTAGTTGTTGTTGTTGTTGCTAGTTGCTGCCGAGTCAACACCAGTACATGACAACCCCATGTACAACAGAACAAAACGTTGTCCAATCCTGCACCATCTTCATGATCATCAGTGTGCTCAAGTCCATTGTTGTAGCCACTGTATATTTTGAGTGCCTTTCAGTCTAGGGGGCTCATCTTCCAACAATATATCAGATAATATTCTGTTACAGTCTATAAGGTTTCCATTGGCTAATTTTCAGAGGTCAATCACCAGGCCTTTCTTTCTAGTCTGTCTTAATCTGGAAACTCTGCTGAAACCTGTCTACCATCCATGACCCTTCTGGTATTTAAAATACTGGTGTCATAGCTTCCAGCATCATAGTAACATGTACGCCACCACAGGTCAACAAATTGACAGTTTAATAATCATGTCAAATCCAGAAATTGAGCTCCATTATAGCTAGTCCTCACCCTTGTGACTCCAGTGCCCATCATAGTGCCTGGTACATGGCAGGGACTCAAGAATCATTTGAAGAAGTAGTTGGTTACAGCAGTGAATGAATGAATGAATATGGCCCAGATCAGCGTGAAGCTTGGCAGTATTTAGTTTTTCTGAATCTACCTTCTTTCTCTATTTCGAGAACAGGAACAACTTGCTTGTACTTTCCTCCTTCTAACACCTCTTTAAAACTCATGATCCTAAAAGTTCACCCACTTGCTTATTGATGAGAAAATAGGAGCTTAGAAAGGTGAGGAATTTCCCAAGTTCAAAGGTTAATAAAGGGAGAAATGAAGATTTGAACAATTGTCTATGGCTTCGAGACACTATGATGCTGGAACAATTAGTCCTAGCGACTGGTACACCATCCAATCTGCAGCCTATATGACTATGAGACCAGAAGAACTAGATGGTGCCCGGCTACTACTGTCATCCACTTGGAAGAGGATCTATGTAGGAGATCCTGGATAGAGAGGGAAAACAATGTGGAACAAAACTCAAAATCATTTGGAAAAAAAAGGGGGGGGGACCAGATTTGCTGGTCCAATAGAGCCTGGTGGAACCACTGAGACTATGGCCTCTAGCTGCCCTTCAAGTCTGGAATTGAACCCATGCCTGTGACTTCCAGGCAAACAATAGATAGGTATATGAGTTGAACATTTACCTGAGGTAGATACACTCCTTGGAGAGAACAAGCATGGGAGAAAGAAGGGCTGCTTATGCATAGGGTGACAGCTCAGGGGGCAGGAGTGCATGGAGGGATGGAGACAGGGAAGAGGTAACTATCGGGAGGAAGTAGGAGGGGAGATGTTGCATTGTGGTAAATTGTGGTCAATGTCATGAGACAAAGTATATGTGAACTGCTGTATGGAATGTGTATTTGCTCTGTAAATTTTCACCCAAATCACAATTAAAAAAAAAAAAAAAAAAGACACTATGATGCTATGCTTACAGCAGGTTTGGGAAAGTTCTCCTCGTTCAACCATCAAGGATATTTCTTCCTAATAAAATTGATAAGCATACAGCATAGTAAAACAGATACATTTCTTTTATAGTCTTAATTTCATTCACTCTCTGTCATTCAATAATTCATTCAACAAATGTTTACTGAGAACCTACTAGTGCTAGACTATATTGGACCCTAGGAATACTCCTATAAATAAGCCCTCCTTGAGCTTAAATTTTATTTGTGCATGGGAAAATAAGTAAGCAAATAGATATATAATCAGATAATGGTAAGCACTATGAAGAAAAATAAAGCAGAATGAGGGGCAAAGGGATTCTCTTTTACTCTGAAGAGGTGGCCTCTGAACAGAGATATAAATGAAGTAAGAGAATAAGACGTAAATATCTTGTGGATATCTATTTCAGCAATAAGAAGAAGGTGTGGGCTTGTATTTGTGGAAGTAATAATAGTTTTTCTTCAAGAAAGTAGGGACCTAGATCATATGATGAACTTTCCAGCTATAAAATACCTGATTCTTTAAAGGTATATCCATTCATTCATTCATTCACTTATTTTTTCAACAGTTCATTTTATTACACATCTACTATGGAGTCCATTAGAAGCTCTGGTGGCATAGCCTAAGGCATTTGACTGCTAACCAGAAGGCTGGCAGTTCAAACCCACCAGCCACTCCTCTGAAGGAAGGTTGGGCAATCTACTTCCATAGTGATAGTGCCTCGGAAACCCAAGGAGGGGTCTCTATGAGTCGGGTCCAACTCCACGGCACATAATGACAACAACATGGAGTCCTTAGTGGGGCAAATGGTTAACACACTCAGCTGCTAACCAAAAGGTCGGTTCAGTTTAAGTCTACCCAGAGGCTCCTCAGAAGAAAGGCCTGGTCATCTACTTTAGAAAAATCAGCAATTGTAAACTCTATGGAGTACAGTTCTACTCTGACATACATGATGTCACTATGAGTTGGAGTCAACTGGGCAGCAACTGATTTATGTGAACAAGACAAGTGCCAGTGATAGACAAGTCCATTAAGCCCAACAACACAGTGTGAGAAGTGCTATCCTGAGGCTATGTACAGCAGGTGAGGCATGTCACCATTCACCCTTTTAGGAATCCATCTGACTAAAGGAAATTTAACATCAAAGCATTAAATGCTATAACAATGGTTTTCAAAAATTTTAAAGCCATTGAACCATCTCTTCAAGTAAAATTCTCATGCAGAAAGTCCAATATATAATATACAAGAAGTTGCTCTGGTTGGCACAAAATTGGAGGCCCAGAGGCACCTTCAAAAACATGTAACTGTATGAAAATCAATGCCCTAAATATTTGTATGACCAAGAACCGAAATCAGTTCATTGTCCGCTAAAGCCTGCTTTTCTCCATGTTGCCGGGTAACCCAAATTTGGAGAACCATTTAATCATCAATCAAAACCATTAGAACTGTTACCTCTGGCTCACATTAAACAGAATAAATAACCCCCTGCCAAGAGGAGAACTGATTTCACATACTGTTTTCTGTTCTTCAAAGCCATCAGATCAAACTCATTACAGCCCAGATGACTCATAAGTATAATTTAAAGTGTTCATTTTTTTTTTTTTTTTTCCAACTTCTGGTCAAAGTCACTACATTTGCATTAAAAATCATCAATTCCAAAGTGTGCCAGTTCATCACTAGTATTGTATGGCTCTCTATTGTTTACTCCAATTTTATCATTTGAAGAAAGCCTGATTTTCTTCCTACTGTGGTGCATGTACAAATGGGTGCTCATTATACACTCCTCCATATTCAAGCACATAATCTCTTAACCATACACACACCACAGGCCAAGATAGACCTCACACTGCAGTTTAGGAACCAGCTGTACTGGCTGTGCTAACTATTGCCTCCCCTTTCTTCTCTCTGCAGATGACGGCAACTGCCCAGCCACCCTCCAAGGCCCAGGCTGTCCACATCTCAGCACCCTCTGCTGCCGCCAGTACACCTGTTCCCAGTGCCCCAATCGACCCCCAGGCACAACTGGAGGCTGACAAGCGAGCTGTATACAGGTAGGAGACACTGCAGCTGTGTCCAGAACCCCAGACAACCTGAGACCCAGCCAGGAGATTTGAGAATGCAAGCCCAGGCTTGGGCACACCAGAGACAATGGCCAACTGCTGCCCTCCTCACCCTCTCTCTCACTCATGTCAACCAGAAATCCTTCAGCTGGTCACTGGGTTACTTGAGCTTCCTAGAAATGTTTCATGAGGGATATGAAGGCGTGGGCAATATCCCCCAAGAGGACCCCTTTCCCATCCTAATTAAGGAGGTGAGCCCCAAAGAGCACCAGAAACCATCAGCTGAGTAAACTCTCCTTGCCCTGTACACATCGTTGCCTTCACTCCAACAAGGCCTGCAAAGCACTGTATTGTACCATTTAGGACTTGATAGTACTCAAACGTTAGTATGCAGAAAAATTACTGGAAGGACTTACTAAAACATTTATTTCTGGGCTCCATGCTCAGATGCTGAATCAGTAGGTCAAACTATAGAAATTTTTAAAAGCATCCCAGGTGAATGTGATGCAGCTGGTCTATGGATCACACTTTGATTCCTGGTAGTTTTTTTTTTTTTTTTTCCTTTTAGCAACAGATATTGGTGTGGATATGTAAGTTCTGGTGCCCTGCCTCCAGGTGGGGAGTTTGTTGCAATGAGGCAGCCTTTCTCATCTTGCCCTGTGTCAGCCCCACACACCCAGTGCTGGGCCCTGAACATTGCAGAGGGAAGGGGCTCAGGGAAATTTCTGTCTGCCATGGTGAACTCCAGCTCTTTATGTCCCTGGCTGGGAAGAAAGATGCTCATGTCTGAGAGCAGGCTTGAAAGAGGCTCTATTAGGACTTT